AAGCAACTGCCATGTGATTGGTTGATTAGATAATTGCATTAATGAGAAATTGAACAGGTGTTCCTAATAATCCTTTAGGTGAGTGTACATTATGGGAAAGAAAGAAGTATTCACCCTTTTCTTATGCGCAATTGCTTAGAGTACGTTATTTTTGTTAAACATGAACTGTTATGTCTATGCGTGCACCATACATTTAATGCGCGGATGATTTGACTGTGTATCAGCAAAACGCGGATGGCTTGACCACAGTGTTGGACTGCTGTCAGAAACATGTATGGACATTGTTTTCTCAACCTATATGATTTTGAATGTGTTAAATAATCCCTCTCAAACCTAGAAAGACCACTTCCTACAGGGAGTGAGATTTTGTTGTGAAAAAGGATGCTCCTGCCTACCCCTCCACTGTATCATCAAAACGAACAAGTCTCATGAGCCACATTTCGCTGGGGGAGTCTTCAGACCTTTGTGTAAACCAGCGTGTTTTCTGCGTTGGGTATTTTTCACAACTGCGTGTGTAACCGGTGGATTTCTGCCTTTACTCTGCGTTGTGTTGTGGGTGTAGACAGGTGTGTGGGGTGCAGAAGATAGGGATGAAGCAGACGCCGCTGTCGTTCTCGGTGTTTATTGAACTGTGTTGGGAACAATTAGAGGGGGGATAAGCTTCATGTGCTCAGGCCCTCTCACTCTCTCTCTTCCCGCGTGTGTGGTACAACAAAGGGAAGGCGCCAGTGGAGAAACGTGCACATTATTCACACTGAGCATAAATAGGAATTAATACAAAAAAATAATATTAATAAAATAAACTAATACAAATGAAAACATACCTGTTGGGAACAATTAGAGGGGGGATAAACTTCATGTGATCAGGCCCTCTCGCTCTCTCTACACAAAGTAAAATAATGCATATGCATATCATATATTGACATGTTTTTAACCCCTACTTATATTACATAATAAATCAACTGGTTATACTCAATAACTGATTAACCCAAGGGACCCTGCCACTAGATCCTCACCTCTTCCCGCGTGTTTGGTACAACAAAGGTAAGAGGAAATGAGATCGGGACCCTTAGAAAGGGGAAAAGACAGAGGGAGGGGCAATGCAGGACAAGAACATCATGGGAAAATTTAAGGGATATTGTACCCATCAGGTTAAACAAAAAAAGAAAACAGAATCTTGTATAAACAAAATTAAAATAACAACCTGTTACACGTGGTCCCTGCATGCTATCTACGTTCCTGCTTACATACTGTGTACTCAAGCAATTTGGGAGAAGCCATTTCACAAAATGTTGTGGGGTTGTGTCTTATTCTGCATTTGCATTGGTGCCGCACTAACTTAAAGAATTGTGTGAAAGCTGTCATTCCTTTCTTTTATTATTTCACAGAGTGGATATGACTACACTGTCCTAAACTAAGCAATTCAAAATAAGTCCAAACAAATCCAAATTAACTGACTAGTAAGTGTCACTTGGGGGCTACCTGGTACCTTGGGCGGAGCTTAAAGCTCCCCCTCCTGTGATGTCATAAGCGGGAGGGGGCGTATCCTTTGTTCTGATTGGTCGAGGGTTATGTCCAATGGTATCATACATGCTTATGCCACGTGTTGCCGATAGGGGGGCAATATGGTTTTGATGCTAAATGCAGCTTACTAGTTCCTATTAAATGTAATGAAATAACCATGTCCACCTTCAATTAAAATAACAAAAATATATCCTAAATTCATACACACTTGCCTGATTCCACAGTTCCTAAACCCCCCTACCCTTCCATGGCTTGTGAGATAAGAAAGCCCCCCCTTCTGTCTGCCTGGTCGATCATTTCTAACCGCTATTTAGGTTCTTCCTCAAATCTTGTTGCCTAAATGACTTTACTCATTATGTAGCCTGTGGGGCTGTGTAAGGGTTTAGTTTATTATGCTAATGAGGGGAGGCGTGCAGGTATAAAAGGGCCAGGAACCAATTGTTTGGGCAGGTTTCGGGG